CCAAAGCCCTCAACCCTCAATCCCTAAAGCAAACCCTAAAGCCCGAAACCCTAAACCCTAAACCCTCAAACCAAAACCCTAAAACCCTAAAACCAAAACCCAAAACCCTTAACCCTAAAACCCTAAACCCTTAACCCTAAAGCCCTAAACCCTCAACCCTAAATCCTAAAACCCTGAAGCCCTGAAACCCAAACCCTGAACCCCAAACCCTAAACCCTAAGCCCTCAACCCTCAACCCTAAACCCTAAACCCCTAAACCCCTATATAACCCGTAAACCTGACCCAAAACCATAAAACCCTGAAGCCCCAAACCCTAAACCCTAAAACCCTGAAACCATAAACCTTGAAACACTAAAATCCTCAACCCTAAACCCATAAACCCTAAACCCTAAAACCCTGAAGCCCTAAAACCCAAACCCTCAACCCTAAAACCCTCAACCCTAAAACCCTGAAACCACAAAATCCTAAAAAACATAAAACCCTGAAACCCTGAAACCCTCTGTGCGGCCGCGGGGCCCGTTCATCGCTTCGCTCCCTGGGCCTGTGGTCACCAGCTGGGCGGGCCTGGGAATGCGGGGTTTAGGTTAGGGTTTTAGGGTTTTAGGGTTTTAGGGTTTTAGGGTTTAGGGTTTAGGGTTTAGGGTTTAGGGTTTTGGAGTTTAGGCTAGGGTTTTAGGGTTGACGGTTTTATAGGGGTCCTTTTAAGGGTTCTATAGGGTTTATAGGATTACTTGGGTTTAGGGTGGTTTCGGGTTTCGGGTTCAGGGCTTTTGGAATTTGTAGGCTTTAGGGTTTTTGGGTTTGGTGTCTGGGATGTGCTTGTGTCTTCCTGGTTTCAATCGGTTTAGGGTTCAGGGTGTAGCTTTCGAAAGGGTTCAGGTTTTAGGGCTGGTCTCGCTTTGTATGGGCTTGAGTTTCTTGTGAGGGTAGTCACGTATGTACGGTCCGCTGCTTCGCGCTGGAGTTCGACAATCTTTGACCCTAAATCCTACCCAGGTTTCTTGACCTTAACCTCGTACTCTCAACCTGAAGTCCTAAAGCATGAGCTCTTAACCCTTAAGCCCCTAAGCCGTGAGCCCCTAAGCCTTAAACTCGAAACCTAGACCCCTAAGCCCGAAGCCAAAAACCTTTAAACGCCTAGACCCTAAACCGTTCCACGAACCTCGCTTCGTTTCCCTGGCCAGAACCTTTCAACAGAAACCCTGTGGCCCTATGGTACTTAACGAGTAACAGGCTTAGACCTCAGGGTTTAGGGCAACGGTGATTACAAGTATATAGAATACCAATAAAACTACTTCTGACCTTACTTGCTAGGCTAAAACCCTACACCCTAAACCCTAAAGAAGTTCCACATGGTTTCCGAACCAAATCTTACGGGGTCTTACGTTTCCTTTGAAGGTTCCATATAAAGGCTTTCTAATATTGGCTTAGGGCTCAGGGCTCGGTACCCCAAACTCCAAAATTCAATTCCTAAGCCGCAGCAGCCCTCAGCCCACAAGCTCTATGTCCTGAAGCCTGTCTTTTTTTTTTGCATTTCAAAAAGACATCCAACGCCACCTGGGCTGCTGGCAGCTTCTTGATCTCGCCCATGAGACCGGCCTAGCGTGGACTGACTGTACGGGCCTTCGGCTTTCTGCGCCAGTGTTACTATGATGATGGCCATGAAAATGAGGATGAGGGTGATATGATGATGATGATGCCCATGTTATATACTGCTACAGATTTTTGTAGGACTTAGGATTGCTGGTTTGGGGCTTGAGTTTTCTGAGATGAGGGGCCAATGGCTCCAACCCTTTAAGGGCCAGGGATTCAAAGCATATAATCCAAAACCCTCCCTAAATCCTAAGGCCATCCTAAGCCCTAAACCAAAATGTTATAACCCTAAACCCTAAACCAAAATGTTATAACCCTAAGCCCTAAACCAAAATGTTATAACCCTAAGCCCTAAACCAAAATGTTATAACCCTAAGCCCTAAACCAAAAGGTTATAACCCTAAACCCCAAAAGGCTGGGGTTAAGCCTTCGGAAGACTTCGCAGTTTTTACGGGATACTCTTCCGAACTTCAAGGAATTTTCACTCGGAAGCCCCAAACCCGAACCTACGGCTTGCGATGATCTGCTGCCTTCTTCAGCCGCACAGATGCGAAGACCCTGGGCGCGGAAGTCGGGGTCTGGAGTTCAGGATTGAAGGTTAGGATTTGGGTTCAGGTTTTAGGGTTTAGGGTTTAGGGTTTAGGGCAGTTTAGGGTTTAGGGTTTAAGTTCAGGGTTTTTAGGGATTATAGGGCTTGGGGTTCAGGGTTTAGGGTGTTAGGGTTTAGGGCAGTTTAGGGTTTAGGGTTCAGGGTTTTAGGGTTTAGGGTTGAGGGTTTAGGGTTCAGGGTTTTAGGGTTTAGGGCAGTTTAGGGTTTAGGCTTTAGGGTTCAGGGTCTAGGGCAGTTTAGGGTTTAGGGTTCAGGGTGTAGGGTTCAGGGTTTTAGGGTTTAGGGCAGTTTACGGCTTAGGGTACAGGGGTTACTCTTTGGGTGCAAGACTTTCCATGTAGCGGAAGAAGGGATCCGCCTGACATAGTGAAGGCACACAGTCAACAGCGTATGTAATTCTGGGCTCTCTAGGAAGGCTTTTTGCTATACTCTGAGATTTGCAAAAGTCATGAGCATGCATTCATCTTGGACTTTGCAACGAGGCTTGCATTGAATTGACTGTTGAGGGTTCGTACATGTCATTTGACATACTCAAGGTCACAGGTATTGATTCGTATGTAGGACAAACGCGTCCAACTAGTGTGCAGGTGAGATTCAACTCCTCAACGTGAATAGAGGCAAGTTGGAGGCCGGAAGAATTATCAATATTCTTCCTTCGTATCAGAATTCCGTGTTAAAGTTATAGAGTAATATACCCCAGAAACCCTCTTCTAATTATCGAGGAGGCCCCTAAAACCCTACACGACCCATGCAACATCTTTTATAGTAGAACCTTTCAAAAAGCCCTTTAAAAGGACACCTATTCTCATGGTTTAGTCACCACCAAAAACCCTAAGCCCTAAAACCCTAGATATTCAGCGGCGAAGTTGGGTTTGCAGGACTTAGATCCCTCGAACCCAACCCGAATCCTGGCCACGCTCTGTACAAAAGGGCCGAAACCACAGTTTAGGGGTTTAGGGGTTTAGGGGTTAGGGGTTAGGGGTTTAAGGGTTTAGGGCTTAGGGTTTAGGGGTTTGGGGTTTAGGGGTTTAGGGTTTATAGGGGTTTAGGGTTTAGGGGCTTAGGGGCTTAGGGTTTAGGGCGAGCCATCAAGCCTGGACCCCAAACCCTAACAATAATAATAGCAGCAGCAACAGCAACAACGGTTACCGGAACCTTGACGCCGAAACCCTGAACCGTAAACCTGAAACCGACCGCGTTCCGGGTCTTTAGAATCGCGTCTGTGAGATTCTGAGCACCGGGCGGCCGCATCCAGACATCCTTCCATTCCTTCGGCGGTGGGTGGCTTGGCGGTTAAAGAGGAGCTTTGGGTTTTGGGCTAGGGATTCTTGTTCGGAGGGGGTGTCTAAGTCTTAGCTGTTGGACTGTTAGGTCCATTATTATAACTATAGGTTCATTCATTATAACTATAGGTTCACTATTTTAATTCTAAGTCATTCTAGGCTCATTATTACTTGGGCTTTTGAGTGTCTTGGGTCTAGGTCTTAAGCTTTGAGAAGGCCCATGGCTCGGCTAGGGGTTCTCAGGGCATCCGATTAATCCAATGCATCGGGTTCACGCCGCGATAGAGCTCTCCCAGGAGATCGCGGGGATAGATGGGGACGCCTCGGCTTACATGGTAGTAGGGGTTTAGAGTTTAGGGCTTGTGGACCCAGAAGCGACAACTCTCAGGGCGCCCTAAACCCCAAACCAAACCCTGAACCCTGAGCCCTGAACCCCTACACCCTAAACCCCACAGCCCTAAGACGCCGTTGGCCTTGAAAACAGAAGGCTCTTTGGAACTGAAGCCCCAAGTACCGGACTCGGACGGTCCTCTGAGGCACTCTGAGAGCTTGTTAATTAGAGGCTTACAGTAGCAGCATCGGGTATGGACGCTATGGGTTTAAACGTATGAGGCCTGATGATCTAAGGTCTAATCTGACCCGAATAAACATAAAATTGTGGGGGAGAGCTGCGCTCGCAACTTCAAGAGAGCTCCCGGTCTACAGGGAGTCTGAAGAGACAGTCCTCTACTAGCGGATGTCTTGTTGGAAGGAAATCCAGCTAGTTTAGGGGTTGGGTTCTGATGCTAGGCAAATTTCATGATTTCTGACGAAGTTAAAACTCTGGGTTCAACAGGTCCCTCAGGATCTGGGTTTTCTACCTAGAAACACCAAGACCCCTACATTAAGGAATATAGCTTAAACCATAATAGGAACCCTGATAAGGTACAAGGTACATTCCTGATTTAAGGGGTTTTGGATTCCGTGGGTATATCGCACAGCTGTCAGAGCCTATGCGTATCTTCGTGAAGAACTCTGAAAAGCCCGCTGTTGAATTCATGAAGATCCTGCAAGATGCCGGTTCTTGTTGGCTGCAACTTGTTTCGACGCCAGCATCCCACACAGCCAATGCACATTGTGCGAGCGGCACTGAGCAACTCAGATGGTAAGCTGCTGCAGGCACTGATCAACCATGGAGCTGAGCTGTGTCAGTCGGACGCCTCGAGACCGCGCGTCTTTCAGAACTGACTTTGCCACCCTGAGCCTGTTCCTGCTTGCGCCTTTAAGCCGAGTACAGATGTCATCCACCGTCCAGGCTGCCGTGAAACGACCAGGAAACAAAGCACTCAAAACGGCTTCTGTGAAGACCTGGTTGGGTCCGACGCCTTTGTGTGTCATGCTAGACAGCACACCTTCAAGCTGGTCCAGCGGAGCATGGCTGTGAGCCCCCACCAAGTTGGCGAAGGTGACAATGCTCGGCTGCAAGTGTTTGCTGAGCATGCCGTCCAACAAATACATGGCTGCCTTGTGGCGGTTGGAGTGGTTTGAGTTTTTACATGCATTGATCGCAGAATTGAAATGGATGTCATAGACTGGCACGGTCTTATTTACCATAAACTCTAGGATAGATGCAGCTTCTTCAATGTCACCCATCTCGCTGGCCGCATCAATGCGAGCTGCGGCCAGAAACTTGTCGACCCGTCCCTCTGCAAGAACCTCTTGCCAGATTGAATCGACGGCAGTGCTGTCCTGCAACTTGCCGAAGGTCTTCATGCCGTACATCAGGAGGACTGGACCGACCGTCACATTGCCGATGCTTCGGATATTTGTGTACATCTCTGCTGCCTCTGAGAACTGTTTGCAACGATATGCAGCTTGTAACGCTGCGCCATAAACCGGTACTGCGAGGCCGGTGTAGTTCTCGTACAGGCGCTGAACTTTAGCCCATCCCTGCTGGCCTTTTTTGCCAGCGGAATGCAGTGCGGCCACCAACATTTTCTCGCTTGCGGACATGTTGCACCTGAACTTACCATCCATGCTTTCGCTCACATATAGCTCGGTGTTCTCTCTTGTCCTGAAGGAATTCTGCTGGAATCTGGCAGGTGTACCAGAACGGCTGGTGAATGCAGGTGGAGACACTTCCCACGCCTTCTCCAGAACAGCAAGAAGCAGCAACAGAACAAGTTCACGGTATGTGAGGCGACGGGCCCTGTACATGCTGACTTGCTGCCAGCCTAAAGATCAACGACACTCCCCTTCCAAGAGGGGATTGCAATGAAGAACCTCTCACTGGCTTGAGCTGTTGTCTTGCACGAGTCTCATGCGAAGGGCAGCGCACTGTGGTGGAAACGAATTCCGAATATGCAGCATCGTTGATGCAGAATGCAGAAGAGGACGACACAATGCAGCAAACATGGAACCCCAAGCATGCCGCCATATACAAGGATGGTAATCTAGTGACTGTTTAGGCGCAGGAAGAACGCAAGGTGAGATCCTGCCAAAAAGCCTAAACCCAAAGCGAACCCTCAACCACTCTCAGCCCGTCTTTCGAGATGTCGCCCGAGCGCATATTCCCTGAGAGCATATGGCCCTAACACCAGAAACAATCCATAAAACTAGGCATTATACCTTAAAGCAGAGACGAATGCTGAAGATGGCTTCCGAACCACAAACCTCGATGCCCCTAGCCCTGTACTAAACTTCGAAGCCTTAGCCGAAAAATCTGAAAACCCCAAGCTCCAGTAACTACATGGACAATTTATCCCACAATTCTATTATAGTTCATATCTAGCCCTTAGAGCTTGGGGTTCAAGTTCTTCTGAAAACCCTCTCAAGCCCGGACATATCTCCAATATAAGTATACTGCAGTATGTCCCAAAACCATATTCCAGCCACCAGAACCCTTGAAGGAACCCTCGGGAAAAGCACTATCGGAACCCTTAAAGGAACCCTTCATGAAGGAACCCTTGAAATATACCCAGAGATGCGTGGAATCCCTGCTTCCCAGGGTTCGCTATCCGAAACACTGCACCGCCCTCCGAAAGGCAACTTAGGCCCTGATGGAAGGGTGCGGGGTTGAGGGTTTAGGGGTTTAGGGCTTAGGGTAGGGCTTGGGTCTAGGGTTAAGGGGTTTATGCGGCTTGGGGTCTAGGGTTGGGGGTTCAAGTCTTCAGGAGACTTCGTAAGCTTGAGGGTTTAGAGGGAACTCTGCAAGAAGTAGAGTGTGGAGTTGGGGAAAACAGTCGGTAGGCTAGAAGGTTTTGTGAAGTTAAGGCTGGGGCCACATTTTCTAATTCTCACCCTACTTCGAACATTCTTGCTCATGTAGCGGGCCTCAATGAATACGATAGGGTTTGGAGTATCGTATGGTAAAACTACATTAACTACATTCAAGAAGCGGATGCAATAGAATTGGTACTTATCCCGCCCTCTGTATGTAGTGAACCCACTGAGTTTCCAAAAGGAGCCCTCAAGAACACGCCAAACGTAACTTGGCGCCAGAGAACGTGCCCACTTCATTTCCTGGAGCGCCAGGGTTGCTTCCAGGTCGATTGTGACGGATCTGTATCGGGGCCTGGAACATTTGCTGATGATCTCCCCTGGTAGTGCCCACATACTTATGGTGGTATGCCCCAACACCCTACTCTTGTTCTGGAAGGCCCCTCTACGAAGAAGCTCCAAGACTGGAGCCCTTGGTTAGGGATTCTCTGGGGAATGTAGTTGGGCAGTGGACCTGACCGTGGTTGCAGCAGTGATGTCGGAATTTTGATTGGGCCTTAAGGCTTTAGGATATCGGGCTTTGGCGCTCCGGGTTTGCAGTGCGGTTTTGGCTTCAAAGGCTGTGCTGTCGAGTCTCGGGGTTCAGGATTTTTCAAGGGGAGCTGTCTGAAAGGCCTTTGCGGCAGCTTCGGGACGGACCATCCTAGCCCCGAAAAAGGAGGTAAGCTTTTAAATTGCTGTAGGAATAGATAAAACCACGCATCGTTCAAGGTTATCTACTCCGCCCCAAGTACGGCAGGCAACGGCGGCAGTTTTACAAAACACTGCTCGGTTGCAGGGTCGGCTACTGCACGCTGCATCCGATGTTGATGAAGTTTCTCGAAGGGACCAGACCCTTTTCCCGAAACCCTTGAACCTAAAGAACTTAACTTTAAACCCCATACATGTAAACCAAGACCTGAACCTTCAACTAGGTCCTGAACCCACACCTGAAGCCCTAAACCCTGAACCACAAACCTACAGAACCCTTGTAGCATCTCTTATGCTCACCCTTCAACCAGTCTGGAAAACAACGTACAATTTTCAGAACTCAAAACCCTAAACACCCTAAAACCAAAACCCCTCAAACCCTCTAGGGATTCTAGTAGCCCCCCCTCTCAACAAACGCAAATGAAGCCTAGCTACTTGGGCACAACCCAGATAGTCCATCGTCCATCGATGTTACAAGTATGGAATTAGGCCCGAAAGGACAATTCTACTCATGGTTTTGGGGGACCGAATTCCTTAATCGAATTGGGAACCCTAATCCCCAAGTCCTAAACAGAGTGTAGATCCCATCAATAACACAGAACTTTATGAAACTTTACAGAATATAGCAATGTATATATGTATATATAAGTATAAATATAAATATAAACAAATAAAAATTAAGTAAATATAAATAAGTAAATAAATAAATAAATAAAAGAATAAATAAATTAAATAAATATATATATATATATACATACATATACCTATACGGCCCCCTCTTGGTTAACTTTAACTGACCATACTGCGGGTCTATAGTAAGTCACAAGGGTAATTTAGAGTCCTTAAAAGGAGCTGAGCTATCGGGTCCTTGTGGTTCCAGCCGCGGACGTCGCACTTCAGCTCATCCCCGAGGTCCTGCTTTAAGGCTTAGGATTTAGGGCTTCGGGGTTTAGGGGTTTAGGGGTTTATGCAAGATGTCATCGGACGTTCCATGCGAGAAGAACGGAGGAGATCCTAAACGAAGCAGCTACGGGGTTTAGGGCTTGTGGGTTAAGCGTTTTGGGAGTTAAGGACTAGGGTTTAGGGGTTTAGGGTGGACCTGAAACCTACACCGAAGACCCATGTACCTGCTTGATGACTTACATAAGGAAATCGTGGCTGCTTAAAGGTCTACCTTAAAACAACCCCAAAACCCACTGTACCCTTTCTAGGGCTTACAGTAAGGACGTCATAGTTGGAAGACCCAAAAAGGTAGGGTTTCTCATTTTAGGGGAGGGGTTGAGGTTTAGGGTTGACTTCCGGCATAATGACTTTGAAGAACCATTGGGAACATAGCAAGTTTAGGCCCTACTTACCTGAATCTCCAACCGTGAACACAATGCCCAACCCGTTTAACCCTAAAACCCTGAAGCCCCAAACCCTAAAACCCTAAATACCCTGAAAACCCTCACACCCTAAAACCCCAAACCCTAAAACCCCAAACCCTGAAACCCCAAACCATGAAAACCACAACCCTAAAACCCTACACGCCTAAACCCTGAAACCCTAACCCCTAAACCCCTGAAGCCCGACACCCGCTTTCGGAGTCCCACGCAGGGCCTCGCAGAAGTCGCATTGTTTGGGATCGTACCAGGCGGCGCCTACCAAAAAGAGTGGAAAACTTATGAATACACGGTGTAGGGTTTATGTTCGGGCCTAGGGCTTGGGGTCAGGGTTTAGGGCTGAGGATTTAGGGTTTGGGGGTTTAGGCTTTAGTTTTCTCGCAGGAACCTTTTTGCAAGCAGGCTTTAGATTTAGGTTTATCGGGTTCAGGATCGAGAGTACAACCGGCCCCAACCAATAAACGGTTTGCAGAACCAATGGAAGAAGCTGCAGGACTGTTGCACAACTTCCACAGACACCGCATGTAGGAAAATGTAATCCACACGCACTGAGGCCCCTGACCCTCTGAGCACAAGGATCCACAAATACTCGAACGGTTGAACAGTTCACCGGCCTTAGTGCTCTTCAAGGAGCATCAAACCCACCCCTAGTCTGTCTTCACGTCCTGGCACTGTATCAATGCAGACCCCGGTTTCGTGTACCCCCTATCTTGCAAGAGACTATAATGGGTATCCTTTGGTATCGTATTATATAAGGACCATGACAGAAAGGGTGTTTATTCATCAGAAGTCTACATCATGGGATCTTTCAACCTTTCAACAAAAGATGCGGTAGCGACCTCGTAGTAGTTTAGTGCTGCATAAATTGTGACACTCGCCTACAGCCCCGTGCAAACTCCACAGCATATCCCCCCCAAACCTCAAAGTCCTAAGCCCTAAACCCTGAACCCCAACACCTTAACACCCGAAGACTAGCACCCAAAAGCCCAGACACCCTGAACATCGAAGCGTAAAGCCTAACATCCTGAAACAGTTCTTCAAGCCTAATAAATTTAAAAGACACTCAAGCCGCAGACCCTGTATTTCCAGGAAGTCGAACATGTGAGAGACATCTTCAACAGGAGTCCCCATAGAGCCCTTCCCTTGTGGAGCACTCAAAGAGCCTGGGAAATCCTCCAAAGGCAGAAAAGTGTCGAACCACCCTAGAAGTAAGCCTTGTAGAACAACACCTGAAACCCTTTAAACCATCTGAACCCTACCCGTAAATGCCTACTTGCCCTGTATACTAGGGAACCTCAAGGCTAACCTTTTGGGATTCCACAGGAATGATCGTACCTCGAAAAAGGTTAAAGGTTACCTTCTCTACTACTAAGACCCCTGATCAATCCCTGTATAGCCAAACGCTTATATAAAGAGCTTTTGCAGAACCCCTTATAAACCCCTGTAAAGCTCTTATAGATACCCTGATAGAACTCACAAGCCAAGCGGCACGCAGACCTTTAGAGAATATGTAAAAAGTAAGGAAGCCTCAGGAATCATATAGGCGATCATTTAGGCTTCTACTAGATGCTTATCAGATGCCTCAAGCCAACGGGCACGCATGTTTACTCTGAACCCCTAAACCCTAAACCCCAAACACCAAACCCCAGCCCCAAACCCTAAACCCGAAACCCTAAACCCCCTAAATCCTAAAATCCCCCAAGCCCGAAACCCCAAACCCCAAGACCCCTAAACCTTAAACCCCTAGTCAAGACAAGGCACACGCGTGTTTCAGGTTCCCGCCCAGCAGCGCGCAGTGCTGGGGTCGGTCTCGGGCGTCACCTCAGCTTGGAGGCCCGGGGGACTTAGTAAGTAGGTTATAAGTAG